ATATACACATACATACATATATACTTGTTTTCTGGACCAAAGATCCACATACATATATACATATATACACACATATATACACATATATATACATATATATACATACATACATACATACATACACACATACACACATACATGCATGTATATGTTTTCTTAAGTTTTCGCGGGTACTTACATGTATGGCATTCAGCTTTGTTCGGGTATTTTCCCACGTCATTGTAGTTGTGCTTTTAAAGTTGTAGCAACGTTTCGGCAGAATCTCATCTGCCATACACATACTATATATTTTTATATCTCTATATATTTATATCTATATGAATTTATACCTATCACACACACACACATATATCCATATCTATGTATATTTTTCTATCTATATGATATAGGATTTCCTGCTTGAATAGGAGGCTGGACTAGAAGACCTCTAAGGTCCCTTCCACCTCTATTCTGATTATTCTGATCTATCTATCATTATAACCATAACCATGTTGCTTGTATCTTTACAATTTATATTGTTTTTGTTTGTTTCCTAATATGATTTGATTGCTTATTAGAAATCTATGACTAGGTTTCTAAGTGTTGAATCTTATGGTTCTTGATGAATGTGTTTTTTTCCTTTTTCTTTTTATGTAGACTGAGAGCATTTGTACCAAAGACAAGTTATTTGTATGTCCAATCACACTTGGCCAATAAAGAATTCTGTTCTATGCTATACCATGCCTGATTCTATTCTATTCTATTCTATTCTATTCTATTCTATTCTATTCTATTCTATTCCTGATTCTATTCAATTCTATTCCTGATTCTATTCAATTCTATTCTATTCCTGATTCTATTCTATTCTACTTCTGATTCTATTTTATTCTATGCTATTCCTGATTCTATTCTATATTCGATTCTATTCCTGATTCTATTCTATTCCTGATTCTATTCTGTTCTGTTCTGTTCTGTTCTATGTTATTCCTGATTCTATTCTATATTCTGTTCTATTTCTGATTCTATTTTATTCTATTCTATTTTCTATCTATCTTGCCTATCTACAGTATCTATATATTGAAATGCAACAAATATATATAAATGCTATATGTATGTATACGTGTGCATATATTGCAAGAAGGGACAAAGGTGTGTTGGTACAATTCCTCAATTGGCTTCTTTCATTTTGGCTCAAAGAGTCATAGAAACTCCACTGTGGAGGCGCTGGCTGGGGAATTCTGGGAGTTGAAGTCCACGCACCTTCTGAGGTTTGGAAAAACCCGACCTTAGAAGGTGATCAAATTTTATTTGACATAAGCAAGACAAACTCAATCGTACCACACTTCTCAGGTTTTGCTGCGTCGGCCTCAGCGCAGTCCTACGATATGAGAAGAGTCGAAATCACTCCACTGGAGCAACGGAAACTCAACTTCGACACCCATCGACTTGTGCGAGATCTAGAAGCCCATGGTGAGCAAACAACACCTCCTGTTCTGACCCATGCCCTTTTCCAACAAATCAAACACAATCCAAAAGGAACAGAAACCTTGTAATGCTTTTACAAAATAATTAGCTGCGATAAGCACAAGCCTTGCCAAACTGTGCGAGACTTGCCAAAAGATAACAGACAAGAAATAATTTGCAAAATAAGAATCTCCAAATACAAACTCAGGATACTGGAATGTCCCCGAGGCTGGAGTTTCAAAATGTCTTTGCCTTCTGCAAAGAACGTCTGATTTACAGCTGGCTTTTATCTTCTTGAAGGAGGGCCCATTACCTTGCAGCCTTACTCCAGAGTCTCCCGTGCTGTTGTAACTGCTCTTTCCTACGAGTGGCCCTACCTGCACTTGGCACAGGCTCCTCGAGAACCTCCTCATCGCTGCTGCCAGCCCCCACAATCTCTGAAGGCAGCAGTCCACTCCCTAAAGGTTCTGGCCCCTCATCTGAGTCCTCGCTTTCCTCAGCCATCCTCAACTGCTGCTGCTGGCTTACCACAACACTTCCAGTGAAAAGTGTCTCTAAGAGAGCTTTTCCTCCATGCAATCACAATAGTTCTTAGACCAGGGGGGACCCCAAACTTGGCAACTTTAACACTTGTGGATTTCAACTCCCAGAATTTGGGGAGTTGAAGTCCACAAGTCTTAAAAGTTGCCAAGTTTGGAAGATTTCTGTCTTAGACTTACGCAGGTAGTCCTCGACTTAATAACCACAATGGAGCACAAAGCTTCTGTTGTTAATGGAGACATCTGTTTTACGACCTTTCTTGCCACCATTGTTGAGTGAATCATGGTGTCAACCCATACAAATATTTCTATGGTCTTTTTAGAGTTGCCAGCAGAAAGGGAGGGGGGGAGCAGTGCGGCAGCTTGCAAACCGAAACTGCATTCCATAAATAATTTTTTCAAAGATAGTAACTAGGTGACTGAAGTTTCTGCCGCCCAAAATTCTAACTGGAGAGTGTGATTGATGACTCTTGGCTATGGATGTGTCCCATTGGAGAATATGAATTATGATACACCCAGGGGGTGGGGGGGAAAACCAGGGTCAAGGGTGACAATGAATTAGGTATCTCAGAGTCGGCTACACCCAGGCAGTGCCGGCATGTTTACTCCTAATAAATCCTTTTGAAGTTTTGGAAATTTGGCTCGAGACTCATGATTTGGATGGGGGTAACTGCCAGAATCCTGACAAACGGCCTTTGTTCAGTTAGTAGCCCCGTCGTTAAATGAATCTGGCTTCCGTCTTGACTTTGCTTGTCAGAAGGTTGCAAAAGGGGCTCACCTGACCCCTCCCCCAGGGCACAGCACTGGTCATGAATATGAATCCAGTTGCCAAGCCTCTGAATTTTGATCACGGGGATCCTGCAAAAGGTCACTGAGTGATTGTGAGGATGTTACAACAGTCAAAAGTGTCAAAAACGATCATTCAGTGCCATTGTAGCTTCAAACGGTCGCTAAACGAAGTTTTGTAAGTCGAGAACTACCTGTGCAGCTTTCTTGCTAGTATCACGGACTTGGTTATCCCATCATTGCCTTCTAGAATGTTTCTCAACTTTCTTGTCTAACTAATCCTGGGATTCCTCGGTTGCTTCCCATCCAAATCCTAACCAGTCTTGACCCTGCTTAGCTTCCAAAGCCCTAGTAAGGTCCCTGCAGTGTTGCCACCCCCACTTCCTTATAAACGTGAAGATGGCGTGGAGAACAAATAGCATGATGAAACCGTGTGGATTACTAGAAGGATAAGGGGGAAAAAAAATGAGTTCTGCTTTTCAACTTGTTAACACGAACTCTGAATTCACTAGATCAGGGGTGTCAGACTCAAGGATGTGGTTGGATCCAGCCTGCAGGCCCCAACTCAAGGACAAGGATCTTCAAACTTGGCAAGTTTAAGACTTGCGGACTTCAACTCCCAGAATTCCTGAGCTAACACGACTGGAGGAGGAATTATGGGAGTTGAAGTCCGCAAGTTTTAAAGCTGTCAGATTTGAAGATCCCTGCTCAAATATGTGGTCAGATCCAGCTTGCGGAACCCAAACTCAAGGATGTGCTTGGATCCAGCCCGCAGGGTCCAAATTCAAGGATGTGGTTGGATCTGGCCTGCAGGGCCCTCCTGGAAAATGTAAGGGCCCGGCCCACATCACTTTGGCTTGGTGTACCCAATGCGAAGAGGAAACATGGCAACAGTTTGGGGAGTGGCGTTAAGCTGGCCACACCCACACAGTTGGCCACGCCCCCCCCAGCCCCCAAGGTCAACAACAGCCCTGATGCGGCCCTCAGTGAAATTGAGTTTGACACCCCGGCACTAGATTAATTTGTACTTTACATACTCAACAGGGTTTGCAAAAGAACAGGCTGAAACAGTCGTCTCGGCATTGATGAGTTTGTCAGCGGTCAGCCTAGATACCGTCTACAAGGATATGGTGACGCAAGCCCAACAGGTAACCAAACCGGCGGTTATTCCTTGGTTGCATCCCTTTGCCAGAAAACAACACACATTTCAGGTGCCTTGCAACATTTTGTGGGTAGATGCGTGTGCTTTTATTTTACGTTTTTAGGAAATAACTTTGCAGCAGATCATGTTTCAACTGGATTCCATTCGCAAGGACATGGTAATTCTTGAGAAGAGCGAATTTGCCAATTTGAGAGCAGAAAACGAGGTATTATCCCCTCCCCTCTCAAAAAAAAATCCCCCCCACCCTGAGATGTATTTGTTTAACTTGTGAAGGGTTTTCTGCAAAAATCGACATGTTTTTCGCATTTCGTAGGTTAGGTGCAGTGTTTCCAATTCAGTCCCAAACAGGAGCTTGTGGGGGGGATGGCTGGTTGAAGCCCTTTTAAAGCAGCTGCATTGTGGCTCAGCTATGTCATCGACAGTTATGGCTGTGAAAGTTAACATGCTTGTATATTTTGCTGTTGCAGCTCCTATATACCATCCGCTGTTTCTCTGCTTTCTTCCTCTCTTCCTTAGAAAATGAAAATTGAATTGGATCAAGTTAAACATCAACTAATGGTAAGTAGACCAGGAACAGCCAAGTGGTTCAGTTTGATTATGGAGCATAATCCTGCTTTTTAAAAAAGGAATTGCGGATGATCTTTTCTTTTTTTTAATATTTTTTTATTTTTAATATAATCATTTCATCCTCAGTTGAACAGTGTTTTGTCTGCGTACAAATCTATTTGTTAAACAATAATCAAAATTACAACAGCCTTCATGAAATTAATATTGATTCTGCAATCTTGAACATAATATTATTCCACATATTCTACAATATTAACATAATGTTCAATATACTAGTCATAATATTTACTTACCTCTTTTAACGTGTCTTCTTTATTTTGTCTCCCTACTTCTAACTTCCATTTTTATTATTTAACCATTGATAAAATAGATTCCACACCCTACAGTTTTCGGTTTGCTCTTTCTCCTTAATTGCCAGTGTTAAATCTATTCATTTCCACACATTCTAATATTTTCTTAATCACATCCTCATCGGTAGGTATCTCTTCACTCTTCCAATTTTGTGCAAATACAATTTTGCCAGCAATTAATATATGAATAACTAAATACGCATTTTCCTTACTGTATTTTTCAGGTAGAATCCCCAATAGAAATATTTCTGATTTTAAGTCAATAGGTTGTTTTATCATTTTTTTCAAACCATGTATGTATTTTTGTCCAGTATTTTTTTGTTGTTGTTGCTTTTGAGCAAGACAACCACATATGATAATATGATCCAGGTATCTGGTGGCACTTCCAGCATTTAGCCAATTTGTCTTTAAACATCCTTGCCAGCCTAGCTGGTTCAAAATGCCATCTGTAAAACATTGTATTCAAATTTTCTTTGTATGATGATCTTTCCAACGAGGTGTCCTTGATATTCTCTGAGCTTGGGTTTTTTTTCCTTCTTACAGATGTTTCATTACCCATTACTCATCACTAGCTTTGAAAATATTAACCTAATCTGTATAACGAAACATCTGCAAGGAAAACAAACCCGACCTGGGGGACCATCAAGGACCTCTCATTTCAACCCTGAGCTACAAAATATTTTCCTTTATTTAGAATTTTTCAATGCAAGAAAACCTCGCCCTCTTAGGTTTGCTGTAGAATCGGAACCCCTACAGACCAATTCTGAGTATTTTTAGCCCCTGGTCTATAGGAGGTCCAATTCTGCAGCAAACCTAAGAGGGAAAGGTTTTCTTGAATTGAAAAGTTCCAAATAAAGGAGAATATTTGCAGCTTGGGGTTAAAATGAGGGGTCTTTGGTACTCTCTGAGCTTGGTGGGGGTTTTTTTCTGGCAGATATTCATTATCTGGCCCTTTGGCTGTCTGTGTTTGGACTTGTGGATTGCTTTTACTTTGAAGAAAATGGCTGCTTCTTTTTTTTCAGTTTATGTATGTCCATATGTGAATTCCTACTCACTTGTCAGCCCTATTGGTTTGCCCCTCTACAACAGTTCCAGATATCTTATACTGACTCTTTGGGGAAACTCGGTAGAGATTCTCAGTCATCCAGGTCTTGGTTGTCCCAAAGGTGCTTTTTCAGGAGGCAACTGGATTTTCTTGATTTTTTACTTTTATAGATGTTTCTTTTTTCATCCAAGAAGCTTCTTCGGCTCTGTTTGGATGGTAGGGAATGGAAGGATTTATACTCCTTGCAGACACCTGGTCGCTTGCATTGTTTTTAGAGAGTCATTGAGGCTACTTGGAAGTTCATCTGTGTCCTCAGGATCACCTGACTGGTGCACCTGGTTCCTGTAGTCTGCAATTTTTTTTTTCCTTTTCCCTCTGGAAATCTATTTCTACTCCCACACCATTCGAAGGGTCTTCATCCCAAATTGTATAGCTAAAAGTCTGTAAAGATTCTCAGTCTTAACCATGACCTGAATGGCTGAGAATCTCTACAGACTTTTTAGCTATACAATTTGGGATGAACACCCTTCGAATGTGTGGGAGTAGGAATGGATTTCCAGAGGGAAAAAGTACAGACTACAGGAACTATTCAGGTGACCCTGAGGACACAGATAAACGTCCAAGTGGCCTCAACGACCCTCTGAAAGGATGCAAATGACCAGCTGTCTGCAAGGAATATAAATCCTTCCATTCCCCACCATCCAGTCAGAATTGAAGAAGCTTCTTGGGTGAGAAGCGAAACGTCATCAAAAGAAAAAAACAAGAAAATCCAGTTGTCCCCTGAAAAAAAAAACACCTTTGGGAAAATTAATTGCCCACCGTTGCATCAACTGTCTTTGCCTTTGGAAAACCTGGAGCAACACCCTACCCAGCCCTTATCGCATTCTTCCACATGTTGCAAATCATGCCTTGATAAAGATGCTAGTCCCTAGAATTGTGCATGTGCAACAGTGGAAAAATGAAGGGATCCCTACAGATGAAAGTATAATTTAAAAAAAATATGTTAGAATGTGCAGAAATGGATAAATTAACACTTAAAACGAAGGAGAAGGAAGAAACGGAATATTTTTTAACATGGTATTAACAGTGGTTAACTAACAGAAGCAGAAGTTAGAAATTTAAAAGCATAAGAGGATGATTAATTGCATAAGGAATCGGATGAGCAAATACTATTATTATGTGATCATTACTAATGTTATGAATGTCATTGCTATTATCAGTATTATTTCTCAAAATTAACTGTACCCAGACAACGCACTGTTTATGTAGACGTTGAATTTTTTTAGGTTTAATAATAAAATAAAAATAATGAGAATAAAATAAAGATGCTAGTCCCAACTGTGCAGCAGCAGGAAATCAGTGTGTCACGCCAGCCGCTGAAATTCGGGTGTCAAATAGCACGATCTGCAAAGAGAAAACAGAATTTTCAGGCAGGCTTGAAAATTCGAGTGGGGCGGGGAGAACATTCTGTTTTCTCCTTCCTAAAATTGAGAGGGGGGTGTTTTTTCTTTGAAGAACGAAACTAACCAGATCAGAGCTGAAAACAAGCTGGACATCAACTTGGAGAGAAGCCGAGTGACCGATATGGTGAGTAGTTTTGCGTCGGTATTTTTTTTTTCTTACGTACAAGTAGTCCTTGAGTTACAACCATAAGGGAAATCCAAATTTCTGTTGCTGAGCAAAGCAATTGTTCAGTGAGCTTTGTCCCCGTTTTATTATCTTTTTTTTGTTTTGCCACAGTCGTTAAGTGAATCTTTTGAGCATTAAGTGAATCATGTCATTAATTATTTGGCCATAGAGGAGGCTCTGTAGCGCAGTGGTTAGAGTGCAGTATTGCATGCTACTTCTGCAGCCAGCTGCCTACAATTTGGCAGTTCAAATCCCACCAGGCTCAAGGTTGACTCAACCTTCCATCCTTCCAAGGTGGGTAAAATGAGGACCCAAATTGTTGGGGAGCAAGAGGCTGACTCTGTAAACCACTTAGAGGGGGCTGTAAAGCACTATAAAGTGGTATATAAGTGCTATTGCTATTGCTATTAAGCGAATCTGGCTTACCCCCATGGACTGTGCGTGTCAGAAGCCAGCTGGGAAGGTTTTTCTGTGCCATGGTAACCTCAAACAGTCATTAAATGAACAGTTGTAAGTTAAGGATGGCTTGTACTTTTTGAGGTAATTATGGATTCCTGTTTTTTTTTAAAAAAAAAAATTATTATTGTTCTTTTTTTTCTTTAATTCTCCAGTTCACGGATCAAGAAAGAAAGCTGATGGAAGCCTCCACAGAATTTCATAAAAAAGTAAGCGTTTGAATCGTTTTTGTTCTAGATCCGTGGTGGCGCACCTGTGGCACACAGGTGGCATGCAGTGCCATTTGTGCAGGCTCGTACGCCTCAGCCAAACTTACTTGAACTGCACATGTGCGTGCCTCCCAGCTGATTTTCGGCCCATTTGAGGCCGTTTTTGCCCTCCTAGAGGCTCAAAGGAAGCCTTTGCAGCCTTGGAAGGCCGAAAAACAGGCCTTACCGGAAGTGCCCGTTTTCAGCCTTCAGAGGGCCTCTGGAGCTCGGGGGAAGCAGTTTTCACCCTCCCAGAGGCTCAAGGGAAGGCCCTGCAGCCTCGGGAGACTGAAAAACAGGCCTTCTGGAAATGCTGAAATGGGGCCATTTTCAGCCTCCAGAGGCTGTCTTTGAGCCTCCAGGAGGGCAAAAATGGCCTCCCCCAGGCTCCAGAGTCTTCCGGAGGCTGAAAACGGGCACTTCTGGTATTTCCAGAAGGTCCATTTTTCGGCCTCCTGAGGCTGCAGAGGCTTCCCTTGAGCCTGTTCCTAAGGAATGTTGATGCCACACTAAGCCACAGGGACAAAATGGCCTGCTCATTTGGGATGCCAAATGATGCTCTGTATGTCCTTCTAGGATTCCAGCACCAACAGTTCCCTGACGGAAGTCAACAATAAAATAGATGCTGAGATTGCCGCTCTCAAAACACTCATGGAGTCGAATAAGCTGGAAACCATCCGGTACTTAGCAGGTAGGTGCCTGGCTCATTAAAAGCCAGCCCACAATGTGGGGATGCTTAGCGACTCAAACAAACGGACAGCGTTTTCTGTAGCTGCTGATTAATAGGAGACATGGTGGCGCAGTGGTTAGGAGGCGGTATTGCAGGCTAAATCTGTCAGCAGTTCGATCCTGATGGGGTTCAAGGTTGACTTAGCCTTCCATTCCTTCCGAGATCGGTAAAATGAGGACCCAGATTGTGGGGGGGCAATAGGCTGACTCTATAAACTGCTTAGAGGGGGCTGCAAAGCGTGGTGGAGTGGTATATAAGTCTAAGTGCTATTGGGAAGCAAGGACGGGAAGGGAAGGAAAGGAAAGGGCTGTGGTGGCGCAGAGGTTACAATGCAGTATTGCAGGCTAACTCTGCCGACTGCTAGCAGTTCGACCATACACCCTCACCATCCTTCCAAGTTGGGTAAACTGAGGACCCAGATTGTTGGGGGGGGCAAGAGGCTGACTCTGTAAACCTCTTTGAGAGGGCTGTAAAGCACTGTAAAGCGGTATATAAGTCTTAAGTGCTACTGCTATTGCTAGTTCAGTTATTTACTCTCATTTCATACTATTCCTCACTTGTTTTCTGTTTTCTTTTGCTTTAATAATTTAATAAAAGATGGCAAAGGGTCTGGAGGCTAAATCATATCATGAACGACTGAGGGAGCCAGGCATGTCTAGTCCAGTGAAGAGAAGGACTCGGGGTGACATGTTACTTCAAAGAGAATTAATTTTCCTTCTCCTTCCTGGAGATTTTCAGTCATCCAGGGCATTGTTGTCTGAAAGGTGCTTTTTCAAAAGGCAACTGGACCGTTTTTTTCCTTGAGGAAGAAGACGACGTTTTGCTTCTTATCCAAGAAGCTTCATCCGTTCTGACAGAAGGATAGAAGAATGGAAGGACTCAGTTCTGAGCAGTCAAAACAGATGAAGCTTCTTAGATGAGAAGCAAAACTACCTCTTCTTCCTGAAGGGAAACAACAGTCTGGTTGCCTTTTGAAAAAGCACCTTTGAGGTCTTCTCACACGTTTTCCTGGACTAAGCTCATGTGCTGCTAACAGGCTCTGTGTAACTTCTCCAAAGTCACTTGTGGGATCTTCTGTAGTGTTCTCCTTGGCGGACCTTTTCACGGGCAGTTGGTTGAACATTTGTTGGACATGGCTTAGTGGATACTTAGTGGATACTTCTGGTGCTTAGTGGATACTTGCCCTGCACGAGGGGTTTGGACTGGAAGACCCCTAGGCAGAGGTGGGATTCAGCCGGTTTGGGCCGGTTCACCTGAACTGGGTGTTAAATTTACATCTGATTCGCCGAACCAGTAGCTGGCCCCACCCATCCCTCCCCTCCCCGGAGTCTCCACACAGCCCACTTTGGATGCAAGTAACCGCAATGTCCACGTGGAGACTCTGGGCGGATGAAAAACAGCCTTCCTGGAAGTTCTGGGAGCTTCAGGAGACAAGGGAGGCCCTTTTCACCCTCCCAGAGGCCCGAGGGAAGCCTCCGGACTATGAGGAAGATGAAAAAAAATGGCCCTCCTGGAGATTCCAGTAGGCCACACCCATCATGGCCACCCAGCAACCAGGCAGAGAACTGGTTGTTGGGGGTTTTGAATCCCATCCCTACCCATGGGGTCCTTTCCAATTTGTACATTGAAATGCAGGGTTCCTCTCAACATCTCTAAGGTGACCACACAGCCTCTGTTTGAAGGCCTCTTGTGAAGCTCTTCAGATGGTATAGAAGGGTGAAGGCAATTGGCACAAAACTTTGGGGGATTGGGGGTAATTTTTATTTTTATTTTTAAACATACATCAACATCATTTCATGGACAGTGTGGCTTCTGAGTGTCATTCATTTTGATTCAAAAAGTAATATTAATACAAATGAAAATGACTACATTAATCAAACTTACGTGACCTAATGTTATGCGTCTCTGCATCAGCACATAATCCTTCATTTTTCAATTATTCAATATTTGCTACATCCTTCTAGTAGTAATAGCATTATTTTTGAATGTACCTTTTTCAAAATCTTAACCTCTAGTATTCACTTTAGATGTATTATGTAAAAATATGTATAACAATATTCCCCCTATTTCTAATTTTTTAATCTATTCTAATTTTTAGTACAGCCAATCTTGTTTTTTTTAATAAGAATCCTTCCTATCCATCATCCCTCATTCTCTTGGAAATTTCACTTCTTCTCTCTTTGACTTGCCTCCCATACTCCTCCCTTGGGTCCTTATCTACATCTTTCATGTTCAACCCAAGATGAAACTTTTGAACCAAAAAAGGTTCACTATTTTTTTTTCTTCTAATTTTTTTTTCTTCTTCTAATTTCAGCTTCTGTTTTCACCTGCCTTGCCATTGCTTTGGGATTTTATCGATTTTGGAAATAAGCCTACCAATGGGAAGAAGAAAAAAAAGGAAGAAAAACACGCCTCATTGGACACCTCCAACATATCTGAGATAATATCTTCGGGTTGATCCTTTTTCAGCATTCTTTCAACATCCAGTGATCTGTCTTCCATCCCTCTGGACAGAATAGCTCAATTTGTGCCTCATTGGAGACTTGTAGAGGGTGATCTATTGGAGCCCAAGAGATCTATGGAAAACTAGAAAAGGGAGGTAAAAGATTAACGATCCAAAAGTTGCAACCGGCTATCGTGTCATGTACTACAGCTGGTTTTCTCTTCTCCAGCCTGATCCTCTTAGCCTTCCTCCTTTGCGTTGAATCTTCCTGCAGTTGAGTTGGGACCGTAGCTTTGAGAATTCAGATTGGCTGTGAATTTACACCGTTGTGCTCCAAACATATCCGGAAGGTCCCAACAGCAGAACATTGGTTTCCGTGAGCAAGGGTGTTCACGAGAGCTGCTGGCAGAGAAATTTCTTCCCATCAGGTGTTCCACTGCCCTCATACATAACACCACTAGAGATTATGTCTCACTTGACATGAGAAAACCAACCCACGGAGAATGTTCAAAAACTGGTTTACCCTTGATGTCTAAGGTGACTGAATGTATTGCCAAAAAAAAAAAAAATTCCCCTGCAGAACACGTAACACTACTTTTATTTCATTCTTGATTGGAAATCTAGGCCCTTTCTAGATTAGTATTCTCAGGATGGCATAGCTTTCAAATGCATGGACTTCAACTCCCAGAATTCTCTTAACCTCCTTGACTTTTGCTGGGAATTCTGGGAACTGAGAAGCATGCATCTGAAGAGACTATAACTTAGCCACCCGGGGTCCCTTATATAGGGGAGATAGGTGACAGAAAAAAATTAAATATATAATAGTTTCAGAAAAGGCTGAAAGATCTGGGACCGTGTTTTTCAACCTTAGCAACTTTTAAGATGGGTGGACTCCAACTCTCAGAATTCTTCAGTCAGCCATGCTGGCTGGGGAATTCTGGGAGTTGAAGTCCACTCATCTTAAAAGTTGCTAAGGTTGAAAAACACTGATCTGTGATATCTTTCAGTTCTGTTCTCTACCAGTTGTTGGCTGAAACTAACTCTGGGACCTTTTGAGGTGCTTTATCACTAAATCTTGGCCTTTTTCAGGTAAGCAAAAACAAATAAAAATAAAACAAGGTGCCTTTTAAAGTTTAGCTTAGCACTGTTTATAAGGAATGCCAGAGCATTTATTTTCAGATTGCTTCAGTCTCTAAATTCTCTTTTGTGGTCATCCAGTGGAATTTACTACTGGGTGCATTTGTTAATCTGCGATGCTCTTGCCTGATTACTCTTCTTCCCTTATCAAGGATTGGATTCACCTTAACCAATTGGCTGTTTTGGGGAAGTCAAAACACTTGCTAGTACGTCCACATGACTCGCTTACAAACTAACATGACACTCTGGCTTGTTAGCCATATCTTATCAAATGAGTCTTGAGGCGCGGTGGTTAGAAGGCAGTATTTCAGGCGAACTCTGCCCACTGCCAGCAGTTTGATCCTGACCGGTTCAAGGTTGACTCAGCCTTCCATCCTTCCGAGGTCGGTAAAATGAGGACCCAGATTGTTGGGTCAGCGATAGGCTGACTCTTTAAACTGCTTTCAGAGGGCTGTAAAAACACTATTAAACGATATATAAGTCTCAGTGCTATTGCTTTTACGCAATACATGAAATCATAAATCTATAGTTTATAGACTGCCGTGGCTGGCAGTCTGATTTTCGGGACTTTTGTCTACTCAAGGACGGTGATGCTAAATTTCCATGCAGCCGTCGGCACACTCCAAAAACGACAAGCCAAGATTGAAAGGTATCATGCAGGTAGTTAAAAAACCCACCCACCCCACAACTGCAGAAAAGCTCCGAAATTATGGCTCCATCGTAGGGGAAATGTCCAAAGAAAAACTCTTGTTTTATTTTTGATACCTCTGCTTTGTCCCAACGGTACATAAGCCACATGGGAGGTTGGATGAGTTAAACCCATGGGTGTTTACATAAGATGGGGTGTCCAGATTACATACAATGGTGGCCCCCAAGTTTTGGGGCATGGACTGGTTCTGTGGAGAGAGGTTTTTCTGTGGACCAGTGCAGGGGAGGGGGACGCAGTTGGTTTTATGTACTGCCTGCATCCCACACATGCACAGATGGGGCTTCAATTGTTTGCGTGGTCCAGTTTCTGGGGTGCCATAGATTGGTGCCCTTCCATGGACTGATAATTTGACGGGGTCTGACATACAACTATTGACAAGGACTGGTTTTCAATACCATACAGAGGCCAATGCACCCATCCCCAGTTAGTTAAGAAGTTGGTTTGTATCTCGATTCTCAGTATGGAGCCTTAATAGAGATACTACATTTTATACACCTTGTCTCTGATCTAATCTGCTCTAGATTTTTGAGACGTTCCCTAATAAATTTATCCAGAATATCGAGATGCTGCATTGAAAAGACAGTTTTAGAAGCTCTGACGTGGGTTGAGAGGAAAAACAAGGCTTTTTTTTTTAATTATTGTTGTTATTAAAGATGTCCTTTAAAAATGTCGCATTCATTTGCTGGAATCTTTAAACCTGTTTTTCCAGGGCTGTATTTTCTGCAATTTATCTTGCATTGTCCCAAAAAAAAGAGAAGAAGAAGAAAACGCAGGTTTGCTTAAAGCTGCCAAATGTTTTCCTTTGCGAAGGGAAGATTTAAACACGCATCGCCAGCTGGTTTATTCCCCAATTCCCTCAAATATCACTCATCGGACAGAATGTTGGGTTTTGGTTTTTTTTTGTAATAGCAGTATTGTGTTTCGTAGTTCTATCGAACGGTCTCCGTCTTCCCTTGTGCCTTCCAGCTGTTGGAGAAATAATTGAATCTTTGACTTTGACTTGTTGAAGGGAGGTGGGTTGGGAGAGCAGCCCCAAAGCACCGGGAAGCTGAATTTGCTTCAGAAGTCATTCTTGTGGCTTTGAATTTTATAAACTGAAATACTTGGAAGTGAATGCCTCTGTTTTAATATTGGGTATCTACTGCCCCCTGGAGTTCACCTCTGGATTTTCTACTTGGCTGCAAATTTCCAGAGTTCCTTGGTTGTTCAGTCCCTTCTTTACACTTTGTAAATGTTCTCACCCGGCTATCAAACAACAAACCCTTTGTAGTTAAGCAAATATTCCCTTTATTAGGAGTGCCAGCAGCCCTGGTAAAAAAATCCCCCCCTTCCTTCCTTCCCTCTCTCTCCCTCTCTCCCTCTCTCTCCCTGCCTCCCTCTCCCTCCCTCCCTCTCTCCCTCCCTCTCCCCCTCCCTGCCTCTCTCCATCTCTCTCTCCCTCTCTCCCTCTCCCTCCCTCTCTCTTCCTCTCTCCCTCTCTCTCCCTCCCTCCCCCTCCCTCTCTCCCTCTCCCTCCCTCCCCCTCCCTCTCTCCCTCTCCCTCTCTCCATCTCTTTCCCTCCCTCTCTCCCCCTCCCCCTCTCTCTCCATTTCCCTCCATCTCTCCCTCCCTCCCTCTCTCTCCCTCCCTCTCTCTCTCCCTCCCACTTTCTCCCTCTCTCTCTCCATCTCTTTCTCTCCCGCCCGCCCTCCCTCTCTCCCTCTCCCTCCCTTTCTCTCTCTCCCTCCCTCTTTCTCCCTCCCTCTCTCCATCTCTCCCTCCCTCCCTCCCTCTCTCTCCCTCCCTCTCTCTCCCTCTATCTCTCCATCTCTTTCTCTCCCTCCCACCCTCCCTCTCTCCCTCTCTCTCTCTCTCTCTCCGCAGACCAAAAAGTCTCCAGCAGGGGGATGAATAATTATCTGCCACACCTATTCATCTCCGCCCCCTGCCTTTTATCCCCAGAGCTAGGGTGGGGCTTCACTAGCAGCGGTGGCTCTTCCGTCCCAAGGACTGGCCCATCGATTTCCACTCTGCTAACCCTAACTCCCACGCCTCCAACTCGCATCTGATTCGGCTGCTGGAGGGGCCAGTGACCGACAGGCCACAACAGTAAACCAACACATCTCATTTCACCAAGATGGCCTTCAACAATTTCTCTGAATTCCTGTAAGCCCATTCCCCCCCCCCCGGCCCTTTTAAAAGAAGTTTCACCATGTAGAAGAAAAACAAATCTTGTATTTTTTCCCATTTCTGCTGCAGTTCTTGGACTTGCTGATGTAAAATACAACAAATGCACCACTCATATTAAACCATTCCATTTATTAGTGTATTCATCGTACAGTAGATATGTCATTGAGCCTTGGCTAAGGGGCAACATCAGCATCAGAGCTTTTCTTTTTTTTAAAAAAAAAGTTAGTCTTTAATAACAAGCCAGTGTATCGTAATTAGCAGTGCATTTTAAAAACCTTTATCCGTAATGGCAACCTGGTTTTGGAGGCAGCCTTTCCTCAAAACGGGTTAAATCCATGATTCCCAAAATTGCTAGAATTACATTCTGAGGGCTGCAGTGTTTTCTATGTTTAAAAGGTTGCACAAAACCAATGTTCGATTAGTCTGGATTAATCTGGATTTGGAAGGAGAAAGGTGATTTAGGCTATGGGGCCCATAAAAATGCCTGCTTAAATCAAAACGCTGCAAACTTAGATGTAACTTGCGTTCCAACAAGTGGATCCGTGCATATGGACAGGTTATACGTTACTTCAGATTCTGACAAGGCAATATATTTATGATGCCATAAACAGATGTGCTTTATCTAGTTAAGGAGGTGGCATTGTAAGTTAACCTTCTTTTGTGCTTAGGGTTGTCTGGGAAGGCGACTGAACTTGATTTCCCTTTGAGTAAAATGCTTACTTTTATTTCCTCCTTGTCTTTCTTAGAATCTTTTTACAATCACACCTCCAGGGCCGAAGAGGGGTCTTTTTTTCAATCTCTTCTCTTTCTTGGTGTCAAAACTCACTTTAGGCAAATCGGAGGCGGCTGTGTGTAAATCAGGCTCTTCTTTCAAGAAATCCAATGACTCCTGCAAGCGACATTAGGAATTAACACCACTCTCTGCTTCGGGTGATAAATGACATTGAAAGTTTACTTTACTTTACTTTACTTTACTTTACTTTACTTTACTTTACTT